GAGGTAAAGGAGGAGCTGACATCTGAGAAAAAGAGTCAGCACATTCCCATTAATCCATGGGAGAGGACTGTAGCCCCATTCTCCTACACGTGTTTTTGTTAACCATTTTTTTCTTCAAATCTAAGACCTTCTGCTTTGCTCAGTTGCTTATTAGCAAAGACTCCAGATGTAAAATTCAGACTTACTTGTGAAATAAAGGTCTGTCTTATTTTATGAGAAAAACCAAGCAAGAGCTGTTACTGAAGTAGAACTAGACCTTACGATATGAAGGGAATATGAGTACAGTTCATTAATTAGCAAATGGCCTTTCTTCCACTTAGGCAGTTGATACTTACTTATTAGTTGCCATGTCTTTGCCTGTGACCATCTTTGTTTGTCTTTACCTGACTTGAGTCGCCCTCTGTTTGTGAGATTTATTTGTTCTTCCTCTCTTTAAAATGGCAGTGTTGGCTCGGCGCCTATAGCTCAACAGGCTAAGGCGCCAGCCACGTACACCTAAGGTGGTGGGTTCAAATCCCCAGCCTGGACCCGCCAAACAACAATGACGGCTGCAACCAAAAAATAGCCGGGCATTGTGGCGGGCGCCTGTGGTCCCAGCTACTTGGGAGGCAGAGGCAGGAGACTCGCTTGAGCCCAGGAGTTGGAGGTTGCTGTGAGCTGTAATGCCACGACACTCTACCCAGGGGGACAGCTGGAGGCTCTGTCTAAAAAAAAAAAAAATAAAATAAAATAAAATAAAATGGCAGTGTTGAAAGCGTTTCCATAGCTCAGTTGGTTTAAGATGGTAGCCATGATTCTCTTCCTTGCTAATCATCTTTCTCTCTGGTGATTGCTTCCTACTACATGCTTATAAAAGCTTTCCTTATCCCCCTTATCATTTGCTTCATTAATATGATTTCCTTGTGTGGAATGCCTTTTCCCTTCCCTCTCCATGGAGCCATTAAATTATTAAGTGTATTCTATAAAGTTTCTCTCACCCTATCTAATTTCATGTACCACAGTTTTTTCATTTGTGAAACTATCTTGCTTCCCGCACTTGGATTTTAGAGTTTTTTTTTTTTTTTAAGGGATTGTATTTTTAATTACATTTGGCCTAGTTCCCCATTGTCAGTGGTTGTTCTGCATGGGAAGTCCCTAGGATAATAGTCACAGTTTCTTCCCATCTTATTAGCTCACTGTTCTTCTTCCCCTCCCCCCTTGCAGCTTCTCACTTTCTCTATCTCATGCTTCTGGAAGCTACTAAAAAGTTTAAATGGCCTGTGTGAAAATATGTCCGTGTCCCACTTTAGCAAATATATATATAACATTTATAATTTATACCCTGCCTACATCCCAGAGGGATATGAGGTGGCTTATGATAAAGAATAAAAACCCCATGTCCAATTGGCACCTGTGGCTCTAGCAGCTAAGATGTCAGCCACATACACCTGAGCTGGCGGGTTCGAATCCAGCCCGGCCCGGCAAACAACAATGGTGGCTGCAACCAAAAAATAGCTGGGCATTGTGGTGGGCGCCTGTAGTCCCAGCTACTTGGGAGGCAGAGGCAGGAGAATCGCTTGAGCCTAGGAGTTGGAGGTTGCTGTGAGCTGTAATGCCACAGCACTCTACCCAGGGTGA